AAACGTTAGGAAACAAAACTTCCAGAACACGGCCACACAGCCCGGAAGACCCACACCAGCCATCGTATGCCAGCCGTGAAAGCCTTCGACAATATGACTAACAGATCATTTCCAACAGAAACGGGAAGGGTATAAAGATGGGTTAGAGTTTATGGATTTATTATGGAGTGGGGACACCTCAGAATAGGATAGAGATAGGCAGGTGCAGGAAGGTTTGTAAAGAAAAAAGGACAATAAATTAAAGCCCGAGAGATTGCTTTGCCTAAACAAAAATGTCCTCTTAAGAAAAAGCCACCATTAAAAGAATCCAAGGTTTCCTAGGTCACCACATCACAGATCTATACTCCAAATCCCCTCCATAGATATTTCACATGCCCATGAGCAAGCTAGCAATAGAATAGACTTGGAAGAAGGCTGGATGCTATTTACTTTAATCAAATAAGTACAAACAGCTCACCCAATATTCCAGCAGTTCACTTCTCGCTTTCCTGAGCATTTTTTTTTTTTAAACAGAACCAAATTGCACAGAGGAGAAGAGTGGGTAACCAAACCAAACCAAAGTACGTTAATAAAGGCTCATGCCAAAGGAGATGACAGAAAATATTTCATTACATAATTAACATGTTTGTAACACAGAGATGCAAGGAACGCTTTGAACTATTAAATATGGGCTATACAAAATGCCAGCATTTGTTTTTATAGTTTTAGTAATCTTACCTGCTAAGACCCTTATCTTCATAAAACCACTGAGTTCCTGAGTAAATATTGTCCCAGAGATTTAAATCTTCAGGGGGATTTGATGCAAGTGGCTGCTGGATTTTATGTCTCAGGAGCTCATATCTAACACAAAAGACAAGCAGAATGGTGGGATTATCTTAACTAATGTTATGACCAAAAAAAAGGTTGTTTTTAAAAGTCACAGTTATTTTCTTTTTACAGCTGCATTTTTTTTTTTTTAACATTTTAGGATTTGACATTTTCCATAACTGTAATTAGTTTCAGAATGGATGAAATTTTTTTTAGCAGTTCTTTTATTAGGGAAAAATTATCTGAGTGTGCATAGAGTTTGATGAAATGTTTGCGTATCCTTTTAAAATAATTTGACAGGAGTCTGAATAGGCAAACTTGTTTTATACAGAAAAAAATGCAAGTTAAGAAAGAGAAGCTCAATGGAAATTTGAGGTTTCTTTTCGTAGCATAAGCTGCATCTACTGTGTAACTTTACATCAATTTGATTTGGCTTAATTATAAAGGTTTGCCCTTGAACAACTTGAAATGATAACTGGGTCTGGATACTCTGATAAACAGCCTTAATATCAGTTGCTTTAAAAGATTTGCTTTTCCCCAATTTTATTCATGTGTGTTTCAGGATTCTCTTTGCCCTGCATTCCATTATTCCTTAAATGACTGATGCTCAGAAGTGAAGACTTATGGCATCAAAATGACACTTCCCATGAACAAGGAGGCGCCTTCAGCAGACTTGAGAAAGCCAAAGGTTTGGAGAGGTGTGTGTATGTACGTGTGTGTATGTGAAAAGAAAGAAAACTAATAAAGACTGAACATATTCAGTGGCCCCTGAAAAATAGAACATGTTTAGGAAGGGCAAATAAAATGGAATATTTCCTCCAGAATTCTGATTTAACCAAATAATGTGATTAATTAATTCTAGGGCTCAGCCATGTCCAGTCTGCTTTGAGATGGAAGGATCAGTCTTATTCAAGTCTGAATGATTTGCACAGGTTCATAATTATGTCTGCTCTGTAACATTTCCATATTTTAAACTTGAGTTTAAAAACACTTACTTTTGAAAAAGTATTTATGAGGCAAGAGACATTTTTTTTTCATGTTTCACTCCTTTTAAAAACAAACAAACAAGGTTGCTTTAAGTGGCTAGAAATCCCAGCTGCCAAGACCATTTGACTACACATGTCCTTGGGAGGAATGGCACACACTGTCATCCTCTCTTTCCTGGAGAGATTGCTTAGAGAAAAGATGGACAACTCTAGGCATCTTTTTAAAAAATGGATACAAGTTTCCTGGGAGGAACAATACATCATCATGACCCTTGCCTGCAAGATATTTGTAGTCCCATTTTGAACACAGAGCAGCTCCCATGTGAAGAACCTAAATTTTAGATACTATGAATATCTATTTTAGTTAAAACAATGTCCTAAGATATATATTTTAATGACAGCCTTCAGAACACTTCACCAAATTTATCAGTCTGAAGATTCCTTAGAAGAATTACATTCTGACGGGTACCCTAATTAGGGAGGGGCCAGGATACTGTACTTTTAATTCCTTCAGTTCATTTGCATCTTTCCCTTTTGACATTTCCATGCCTACTGGGGCACAGATAGAACTTCACAAAAATGTGTACTCTGGATGTGTCTGTACATATAATTGGTCTTACATTAAATGATACATACATGTACTTTGGGGGAAACCCCCCCCCCACTAATAATCTTGATGCAACTGTATGAAAAATTAAACTTTTTATAGCATTTCATCAACAGATTACAGATACAGTGGTAAAATACCTAAAGGGAGTATAATTATGTTTACACTTCTGCAGTGTTTAAGCATGTTTTTGCAGGGATAACTCATGAATATTTACTGAAACTGCAGCAAACCGCATTTCCAGTTTCTATAAAATCTGGAAATAAAAATTGCTGGAATGGATCACATATTTTTAGATCAAGTTATTTAAAATTTAGGATTTTGCTGGATTAATATGGTGTGAATTTTGTTTATTGGTTGAATTAATGGACTTTATTCAGGATACTTTTATTAGCCAGAGTGTTTTGGTTGGAATGAACAGAAGAAAAGAACTTACTTTCATATTTTTAAATATTTCATATTTCTTTTCATATGTAATCTCTAATTCCTCAGATAATCACCAAAGATAACTGAAAACTTAATGCTATCCAAATACGCTACTGTCTTCACAGCATAAAACCTCTTCAGTGTTTTCAGTTTATCAACTGACCATCACGCTTCCAACCTCCTCACTCCCCACCAGTTTGATGAAGAAACATAGTTTCTCCACAGGGGGAGCTCTATTAACTCCTCTTGGCATCCCATTCTGCCAAAATAGTTATTCTATTTCGTTGTTTGTCTGAAAGTTTTACATCCTGGCTTCCCTCCAGGAACTCAAAACAACTTACATGGGATCCCTTTTTCTTTTATCCTCACAATACCCTGGGAGGTATGTTGGGTTGAGAGTGAATGCCTGGCCAAAAATGAGTTTTAATAACTAAGGAAGAATTTGAATCAGGGTCTTCCCATTCCTAGTCCAACCTCTTAATCCCTACACCACACTAAGAGATCATGAAGAAAAAAAAGTTTGTTGGTACAAGTTAACATTATATTAATCCTCTCACCAAGGTAAATGCATATAGTATCCATCTTAAGAGAGTTCACAAGGAATGCCTAGTAATTAGTCTTTAGTAATTTGCCAGTTACGTATTAAGCAACACCAATTAAGAACTCCTTCTTGCATATGCATAATTTCTAGGTGGATAGTAGAGTTGTCCAACACACTTTAAGGATGGTTCCTTGGTTTCAGAAGTAGAGGATCTGACACTTTGACTCAATCTGAGGAATCCCATCCCACTGTGCTTTGATTTGGGAGCATGATTTGGATGAAAATGGACTATACTCTCCCATTATCTAGGGTGGGAAAATATGAAATAGCTCTAATCTTTTTTTTTAATGAGAACAGCATGAATTTTAAAAGAAACGTTTAAAAAGTGTTCTAAATTTCATAGAAATTAGTGTGGGGGGGAGGTTGGGCTACACACTTTTAAAATCTTTTTTGTTGTTGTTGTTTGTTTTTTATAAAGTCCCCATAGCATTTTTATACTTTTCACCAGGAACATAATAAAATCTACAAGAAAGGTAGATGCTTTTAAGATATGGAATATACTAAATTTAATAATAATGAGTGCAACTTTTAATTAAAATTATAGAAATGTAATGCTATAAAAAGATAACTTTTTGGAGACAGAATCTGTAATGAAAATGGATCCTCTAGCAAGGAGTATCTGTGGCAAATTTCAGGCAGATCGGTTGATGGGTTTTTCTGCAAAGGGAAAGGCTGTATCCTTTCCTGAATGCAGTCAGGGATTGAGGGCAGGGATAAATATAAGAGATTAAGTCACTCATATTTCCCTAAAAGCAAATAAAGTTCTTAAACCAATCAGGTAGATAAGAAGCAATAAACTTCTTATCTACGGATGGAAGATGGAAAACAGGAAATAAATGGTTAAATTAAGAGTGCTCTATCAATTTCTATCCCCCCTCCTCTCCCCAGACATTTTGACTGGCGTAACTGATGGTTGTCTGATTGTAAGGGTCACTCTCATTTGAGGGCAGACCTGTCAATCAAAAATACAGTTAAAGTTCTTTTTGTTACTTGACAGAGACCCTGGATGGCATACTGGAAGGAGAATTTTGTGAATGATTTCAGTTTGAGAAAGGACATATGGAGAAGTCCATCCCGTCAAATGAATTAAAAACTAATTTGAATTATCCCAATCCATTCTGGATTCATGTTGAGTCTTAGACAGCCCTAATAATTTCAGGCAGTTCCAGGTAGTCTAATTCATTTTGATGAAATAAAATTTGCTTTGGATACTCTTTCAAAAGACAATTCTGGTGAAAAGGCTATATTATGGAGTGGGTTAAGAATGTTGTGTTCTTGCATTAGTTACAAGATTGCCAAGTGGTTGTTTGTCAATGTCCTATCTTTTATTTTACAGGATCTTCTTGGCATCTGATGCTTCCATTAAATCCTAAGAGATGATGTCAAGAGGAAATTCCTCCCATTGGGCTTTTTCAGTAGCTACAGTCAGGACCAGAAATATTGGAACAAGGGTAACTGTTTTGGCATTTGGCCTCTGTATACCACTGCATTGAAGTTGAAAGGAAACACACCCAGATGGGAGCAAAGTCAGGACTTTCAGCTGTAATTCAAGGGGTTTGACCAAAGTGGGCCACTAACCATTCAGGAAGTACAGCTAGTGGCATACACTGCCCCCCCCCCCATCGTTGGTGGCTCAGAATAATGAATTGTAGCCCAGAGTAATGAAGAACACAGGCTAGGAGAAGCCTGAAACCCTGAGTTTGCAGGCTTTATACATTGATACATTTTTCATATCTCAGATTCAACATTCTAGGACTATTATTATATATATTCTATTAGTTTTTTATCCTATTCAATTGAGACTCTGAGGAAAAGTCAGCCATGTCGTCAAGGTCATTTTAGAGCCCTCAAGTGAAGAGAGCAGCAACACAGGAGATAAGGCAACACTGGGTTGTGTTAGAGTAGAAAGAACAGGCAGGACTGATCAAGACAGGATAGAGGCACACTGCAAAATTATTTTTCTGCAACAATTTAGAGCCACCTGAAACCTTAGATTAGTATCCAGGATCTACACTGTCAATAGCTTCTTGCTCTCTGCAGGAGTTACCGAGACAGTTCAAGGTCCCTCGCCTCATTCTGTACTTATATTTGTGCAAAGCTGGAAAACTAGATGTCACACTGGAGGTACATCCTCTGAGTTGGAGAAAACTGGTTGGGGAATTGATTGTCCCTAAGGATTCTTCATCTAAGTCTTTTGTATATAATGCAACATCCATGAGCTGGAAGATATGCTAGTCCTTCTTGCTTCACTGTAAATTTAGCAGACTTCAATGCAAGACCTTATGGAGTTGAAGAGCAAGCTCCTAGATACAATATACCTCACAGAATAATCTCAAAGTCTGTGGATCTCCACAGATACAGGGATACTACTTCAATCATAGACAAAGCTATAATTGAAATCAGTGAGGTCCATTCTTCCTACCTTCTGGGAATATGTCTTATACTGATTCATAAAATATACTGCAGATTATATTGGAAATCATTTTAGGCTTTGTAGTTCTTCATATGAACAAAAAAAATGCTCTACAACAAACCTATTTTCCCTGCTATGATGACAGGCAGACATCTTTTTGGAAGTTTCTCTCTCATTATTTGTCATCACTTCAGGACAAACAATAGGATCACCTTTGGCAGCTTTACAAGTAAACCTAGGGACTGGATCAGTGTTTCTCAACCTTGGCAACTTTAAGATGTGTACTTCAACTCCCAGGATTCCCCAGCCAGCCATGGGACTTAAATTCTGGGAGTTAAAGTCTACACATCTTAAAGCTGCCAAGGTGGAGAAACATGGACTAGATAGATAGATAGATAGATAGATAGATAGATAGATAGATAGATAGATAGATAGATATACATACATACATACATACATACATACATACATACATACATACAGTCTGCCTTTCTCCTGCTCTAGTTCACAATTCAATAGTTAATATACAAAGTTAAGTTTGGATAAAGTTTGATGTGTTGTTTTTTTGCATTACCTTATGTGTGGTCCATTGGGTTTAGATGGTGGTTGCCAAGACACAGTAATTACTGACTCACTAATTGAGGTCACAGACACAGGACTAATATTTTGGGGAAGTGTTGGAAGTGTAACCATATATGTAGGTAGACTCTTGGTGCACCCTCCAATATAACCTCCACCTCCAGCACAAGCTTCTATGGTGACTGAGTAATTTGTGAAAGGGATCAGGTTAGTTACTATGTGGCTCATTGAAGATGACAAATTGTTAGTGACAGTGATTTGAGGGTCTGGCATCTGGATCTCATAGCTCAGTATTTCTCCATTTAAAATGGAAGGAGACTCCCAGGAAACCTAAAACAATAAAAAAAAATGAAATGAAAGATTAAGAATTTTACAAGATTAAAAAGAAATAGTTCTAACATGCTTTTTGAAAACAGAGTTTCATTTTCTGGGTTTATATGAGCAAATATGAATTCAAATGTTTATCATGGATATCACAGATTGTATATGGTCTAATCTCACCCATAACCTGATGTTGTAATAGAAGAGACTATCTATAGCTCAGCGTTGAACTGTGGCGTTCTTGATGCTCTCTTGGCTGTTTGCTTGCAAGCATTTCATTACTCAACTAGGTATCCCTAGTACGAGGGAGTGTGGGGTTTGCTGCCTGTTTATCTGCAGTAGCTTGCCTTACCAGTTTAAAACCCATCATCATCAACCCAACATACAGACAAAAGAAATATCTGTATGCTGGGAAAATACACAAACAAGAAAATTCCAGCCACCCATCAATCAAATGGGATCACAAATCACCCCTGGCCTGTTTGAAAAGCCAAGATTTAGAAGATTTTCTAAAGGGGCCAAACGGACTTTGGTTTTCCAAAGGGCAGGACCTGGGGGAAATGGTATTCCAGATGACATGCCTATGAGATTCCATACGATGGTATTGTTTAGTCAGTAGGATCCAGAGCATGAACAGCCTGTCAGATCTTATAGAAGAGGCAGAGAGAATGGGAGAAAGACAGTCCCATGAATAATCAGGCTGTGATCCATGAAAGCCTTTATAGATGACAAGCAGTACTTTGACTGGCATCTAGAAACCAACTGGTAGCCATTGCAACTGGCAATGAAGAGTTCTGAGGTATTAGAACACCTATAGATGTTAAATAAGAAGGGGGAGAGTGTTAAGCCATGATGAACCCTGTAAATTATGGGACTAGGACTCAATCTCTCTCCCTCACCCCCCATACACCAACACTGACTGGAACTGGCCATGGAGCAAGGAGGAGAACCACTGCAAAGCAGCACTATCCACTCCCAGCCCCCAAAGTCAGCCAGAAGGATACCATGATCAATAATATCAAAAGCTAACAAGAGGCAAGAAGGATTAGAAGAGTTGTACTACCCCATCCCATTAAAGGTCATCCCCAAGCGCAATTAATGTCATCTCAGGGCTATATCCTGGCTGGAAACTCAACAGAAGTTAGTACATCTAATCTGTTTTTTCCAGGACCCTGGTTGTTGGTATCAGAAAATATAGTCAAGTCGTTTCCATTTCAACATGCTTTTGGATTTTCTTTCCATAACATCATTCTTTACTGCTATTAAAAGCTAATCATGGCTACCATTTTTAATCAAACTAGTTGGCAATCTGTTCACCTGCAAAGCTTGCCATTCAGTTATGAGTATTTTCTCTGTTAACTCAAATGTCTGAAAAGATAAAAAAAATAGGGTTGTCTAGACATTTGGTAAACAATTGCACACAAGATATCAGCTACCGGGTGAGTTATTTAAGATGGTCTATACTGGACAGCTATAACACACACTTTGTATATCAGGCATCATATTCTGAATTATGCATGTCTTAAATGATCAGACACAGAAAAAATGCAACAAAGTGCAATTTTACTTGTCCACAAACTCTGGAGAAGCTTAAGATCAAAAGAAACATTATAGCTGTATTTAGTTTTGAGTTCAAAATGAAACTGATTTTTATTTATATAAATCAGCTGGCTCAACTGGTATAAATGCTATAAAGGAAATAAAATCCACAAGAAAAAATTATTAGAAATATGAAAAACCCGTCCCTTGCTCCTCAACCCTGAGCATTCTTAGATCACCAATTTCATATTCCAAAAATGTCCAAATATATAAAGCCGCTAGGGAATCAGGGCTGAAAGATTATCAAGGTATAAATAACATGAGACATTAAGAACCAGTGAAATTATTAGTCCTTTATGTAGCATCTAGCTGCCTACATTTTTAAGAATGTAAAAGGAATCTAATAAAAAGAACTTGGAATTCTTTTATACAAACATCATTAACAGGAACTTTTGAATCATAGCTTGCCAATGTCATCACAGCAAAGATTTCATTCTGTCAAGGCTTAAAACTTGTTTAGGTTGTTGCTATTTCTAGCTCACAATAACATGAGAGTAAGTGACAAAAACACCACATGAAAATAAATCTAAGATGGGGGAGGCAAAAGTGAATCCATCCCAGTTAGCTGCATTATCTTCATCGTCCTTTATGAAACAGTATAAAATCATCCAGGCAGAGAAATCACATATTACAATTTTCAGCATGGAAAAAAAAAGAGTTCTTCATGCTTTACGCTTCTTATATTACAAATGCACAACTCATACAAAATTTCAAGATGGCAGTTGGCCATTCCGCTAAAGAATCAAATCAGTGTAAAAGGAGGACCTTAACCAGAACAGCCATAGAAAACCACAATGCTTTTAGTATTCACTGCAAAGGATATTAGCATAGCCTTAAAGTAACTGATATATGCTGGTTAATAATAACCAGCATTATTCAGAAACAACCAAGAGTTAGTCTAGACCAATGTGATTTATTCCCTTTGCCTGATACATATGTCATCCCCATCTACCAAATTGTTTCCTTCATGGTGAAGAATACAGGTAGTTCTCATTTAATGACCACAATTGGGACTGGCAGCTCTATTGTTAAGCAAAGAGATCCCTAAGTGGGAAATCACATGACCATGACTGTGCTTTCCTTTCCCCACTCCCCAGTCCTTTTGAATGCTCAACCTAGCACTGGGATAATTAGCAAGAAGGGAATTAATATTTATATTTATATTAATTGGAGAGGAAGGGATTACAAGACAGTAAGCAGGCACGCAATGGGCAACACACGTCTAAAGCAATGCAGTATCGCACTATGCAAACAGCCCAG